TTTAGACATTACAGAATTTATCTAAAGTTGAACTACTTATAATTGGCAGAGCAGAAATTCAAACTCTAGGTTTTCTTGTCTCCAAAGCCAATTTCTTATCTATAACTTCTTCTCATCCACACTTTATAAATGAGGAAGGCTCAAAGAGGTTGAGTTACATACACAAGTTTCTACAGCCAAAAATACCCAGATTTAAACCCAGGTATGCAAAGTATTAGACTGAACCATTTGAAATTCTGGTACAAAAATAGCAGTTTTATGTAGTTCAGTTTCATACATGTGCTGGCCACTTACCCTTGAATGAATTTGGAGTCAGGATGAAAAGCTGGGAGGAAAATAATGGCAGAAAAAATTGTGAGAGGGGAGAGAATCTAGGTGGATAATATATACCTGCTGATCAAGAGTCACAAATGCTTGAGAATATCAGAATTGATCCAATGGCAACCAGTAAGTGAATGGTTTGCATTTGATACAGTGCTAGGCATTTCATCCTTAAACATAGGGTCTGATTTGGTTCACAGAGAAGCAGAACAGTAACAAAAATGACCACATAATGTTGAAAGAGGTCTGAGCTGGACCTTACAGGATCAGGAGGAACAGAACGATGATTGTGATATACAGAACACCTATGTAGAGTGGCATGAATGAAACTGAGGTTTTGGAATGACCAATCTGATTATGGAGTTAAAAATTGCTTATGGTATAGAAAAGCTTTGGGGAATTTCTAAAGAAATTTCAACAGTACCCAATTTTATCAGTTTTTCTTCAAAATTGTTTTATGATTTTTATCCTTGAAATGATTTTAAAAGTTTCTTTTACTATCTAGTATCTAATTCGCTGTGCTTTTTCAAGACTTAAAATCATAGAATTTTGACACTGTGTGGAACATTATAAGCCATCACATTCTTAGCCCAGCCCTATCTCTACAGATAAAGAAAGCAAGTTATTGAAGTGCTAAAGTACCATTTCTTAAGCTGGTTGTGGGTTCATGAGTTTCACTTGTCAGGCTTCATAACTAACAAATTATATTCTTGTCCGTGTGTGTGTGTGTGTGCATGCGCGCACTTACATGTGTATGTATTGAAATTATCAAATTATCAAAGATAAAAAAATCTAAAATGGATTTCCTAAGGATTTTTTTTAAGCACCTTTTTCTAGTATTACTAGAAGGTTTGCTAGTAATTTTTCTTTTTATACTGTCCTTATTTAGTGATCAGGTTTTACTGCCTTCACAGGATGAATCAGAAAATATTTCTTCTTTTTCTATTTCTTATAGTAAGTTTTTTAAGACTGGGAAAGTCTGTTTCTTGAGTGTTTGATAGAACTTAACTATAAAACTTTTCAAGCCAATCATGGTGGCACATGCCTGTCATCCCAGCTCCCAGGAGAGCTAAGGCAGGAGGATCACAAGATGGAGGCCAACCTGGGCAATTTAGCAAGATACTGTCTCAAAATAAAATAAGGACTGGAGATGTAGCTCAGTGATAGACACCTACTATAACAACTCTATGGGTTTTAGTATTTTCTGTGATGAATCGTCATTTTGGTAACTTGTTTATTTTTTGGAGATTTGTGTATTTCACTGCAAATTTGTAAAAATTGACTAGGCACAGTATTTGTTCTATTTTAAAAATATTTTATACTTTTTTTTTCAGTCCTGAGTATTGAACCCAGAGGCACTTTACTGCTGAGCCACATCCCCAGTCCTTTATTTATTCTTTATTTTGAGACAGGATTTCACTGAGTTCCTTAGGGCCTTGCTATGTTGCTGAGACTAGCCCTGAACTTGCAGTCCACCTCTCAAGTCACTAGATCACAGGCATGCACCACCACACCCAGCTTACTATTTTTCTTTTAGGGAGGCTTACAGTTCAGTACTCTATCTCACCTTGTAAGTTAGATCCCTGCCTTGCAAATTGTCAGTGCTTCTAGGATTTTTTCATATAAATATATGGAATTAAAAATTTTGCTGTATGTTTTTTAGCTGCATTAAGTTTTAAGTTATGTTTAAATTTAGTTTGAATATTTTCTAGTACTCATTTTGTTTTCTTTAACCAGTGAGTTAGTTAAAAATGTTTTTAAATTAATAAATATAGGATTTTTAAAGTTAGTTTTGAAGTCAGTACAAAAGATAATTGCATTTTGTTTAATATGATCACTTTTTTCTAACTTGGGAGCTTATAATATAAACAGTTTTACAAATGTTCCAATTCCAAAGGTGTTGAAAAGAATGCCTGCATTTGACTGGCATAGGGTCATGTATGTTTAGATCAGGTTTGTTTTTTTTTATGTAGTTCAGGTTTTCTTCTGTATGTATTTGGGGTTTTGGTCTCTTTATGTATCATATATAGAAGAATATTAAAATTTCTCACTATGATGATAGATGGGTCCCTTTCTCCTTGAAGTTTGGTTATATATTTTTACTGTATTTATCTGAACGATATATAGGTACAACATATAAATTTTGAATTGTCATACGCCAAATTGAACCACTGACTACTTTGTCTCTTTTTCTAATAATTTTTTCCCTAAAATGTATTCTAATATTATTTTCAGGTACTTTATTTTGGGTAGTTTTTTTTCTGGTTATCTTTCTTCATTCTTTAACTTTCTGTTGTCCTTTCTCTCTTTCTCTTTCTGAATTAGGTATGTCTCTGTTAAACTGCATTTAATTAATCCTGATAATCTGATTTGGTTTTTGTTTCCCTTTTTCTTTTCAATGTCTTAACTGTAAAATTTAGCCCATTTACACTTGTTAACTTTTACTGGTAAGTTTTGTGCTTCCTCTTATTTCTTTTTTTCTCATTTCTTACCTTCTTTTGGATTGAATAAATATATTTTTCATCTCATACTTTTTCTTTCTGGTTTGAGAGTTGAATTTTACTACTTCTTTTTAAAAAATTGCACATCTCGGTTTACAGAGCAGTGGGTTTCATTGTGGCATATTTATAGTTACATAAAAACACATTTTGACTAATTTCTGTCCCCAGTGTCTCCCCAACCCTCCTCCTTCCTCCCATTTCCTGCCTCTTTTACTCATCCTGAATGAGGATTTTTAAATCCGTTCTCTTCTTGCTTATGCTGTTGTTGTACATAAATTTATTACTATATTGTTTATTTGTTTGGTATTTCTATTAATTAGTCACTGTTCTGGTCACTTAATATTTTCAGTATGTGGACTGATACCCTTGTTTATCAGTATTCCTACTTGCATTGTGGCCCTTTCATCCAAGAAAAATTTTTCTTGCTAAGTACGTGCTTAGGAATTCCTGTGGTATGAGTCTGGATGGTTACATCAGTTTTTGTTCATCTGAAAATGTTATTTGACCTCATTCTTCACATTTTTTTTTTGTTGTTGTTGTTGTTGACTAAACAGTTCTAGACTGGTAGTTTTCAATTCTCACTTTATGGATATTCCACCTTTTTTCTGGCATCTCTTATTGCTGTTGAGATTTTGTAGATAAAGTATTCCTTATAAATGTGTGGGATCAATGGTGTTTCAGATTTAAGACATTTTTAAGATTTTGGAATATTTTTATATATATAATGAAATATCTTGTGGATGAAACCCAAATCAAACAAAATTCTTTTATGTTTCATATATGCCTTATACATATAGTCTGAAAATAGTTTTTTTAAGCCAAAAAGTGCCTTTTTGTTTTTACATTTTAGTTTTAGATGGACACGTGCCTTTTTTTTATTTATTCATTTTAAGTAGTGCTGAGGATTGAACCCAGTGCCTCACACATGCTAGGCAAGTGTTCCTCCACTGAGCCACAACCCCAGCCCCTAAAAGTAGTTTTATACAATATTTTTAGTACTCATATTATGACTGTAACCTGTCACATGAGGTCAGATGTGGAGTTTTCTACTTCTTGGCATTATGACAGCACTCAAAAAGTTTTGGGTTTCAGAGCACTTCTAATTTCAAGTCTTTGGATTAGGAACGTTCAACCTATGAATCGGTCTTTTTTCTCTGGCTGTTTTGTCTATCTTCTATTTGTCCGTTTTCTAGAAGTTGCCTGTATATGTCCCATGTTGATTAAATTCAGGATATGGCTTTTCTCTTGTTTTTTATACTTGAGATTTGTTGTGGTTGGGATTTGTTATATTTTCCACTGATTCTGGAAAATTTTTTGTGGAAACATTTTTCTCCCCTCTCCCCAACATCATCCCATACAGAGACAGGTTGATTTCCTATCACCATTTTGTCAGTAGATTTTTCTTTTCCTAGTTTACTCTTTCTCTGAGAAGGACACCTGCCCTAAGTTTTAGGTTTAAACACAGGTTCCTCCAGGCTCACCCATCCTACAAAAGGCTAAGGTTTAATTTTCTGGTGCAACAGGCAGTCAACACAAAACCTCTAGGCCATTGGTGTTGTACGATACCCAAGTTTCAGGCCCATTTACCTTTCCTGCTCTCTTGGTCTTGCTTGCTTCAGTCTTGAGTGTTTCTCTTACATTCTTGAAGCTCATTGGTTTCAAAGGGGTAATATGTATGCATGAGTACATGTAAATTTATACACACACACACACATACACACATATGTATATATAATGTCTTTAGGGGTTTTTGTTTGATTTGGTGAGGGCAGTGATTAGGATCGAACTCTACTAGGCAAGCCCTCTACCACTAAGTTACATCCTCAGCCCCTAGTTTATTTTCTCAAGAGTGTTTTAGGACCTCTACCCATGGAGGTCTGTTTTTTGCCTTTTAAAGGAAATAGTCTCTTGCTGCTCTTTTTTTGATTGTTTATTTTATTTTTTTGTTTTTCAGTACTGGGGATGGAACCAGGGGTGCTCTTACCACTAAAGTACATCTCCAGTCCTTTGTTAATTTTATTTATTTATTGAGACAAGATCCTACCAAGTTGCCCAGGTGGGCCTGAAACTTGCAACACTCCTGCTTGGGATTATAGCCATGTGCCAGTGCACCTAGCTTTGACATTGTTTTTTTAATGAAAAATCACATTTTGTTTTTTCTGTCACTATTTCCTACAGGTGAGCAGTAGGTCATCCAGTCCTAGTGTCAGAATGATCACTACCTCAGGACCAACCTCAGAAAAGCCAACTCGAAGTCATCCATGGACCCCTGATGATTCCACAGGTGACCAGTCTAGTTCCACATTATAATAAGAAATTGAATTCATCTTACTTACATTCATTTAGTACTGTTATTAATTTTTACAAACACAAGCATTATTTGGCAGTTTAGATGTTCATATTAATAAAATGACTATTTACCAATAAATTTTAAAATATCTTTAAATTCTGTGACAAAGACTGCCTTGACCTCTGCATTGTTTTCTCCTAGATACTAAACACATATTTTGAAGATAGTTGTTTTAGTTTTTTCTAGTTAGGAAGCATATTGTATGCTTGATAATTCAGTCTATGGTTTTCCTAATGTGATCCATCCAACTAGATGATAGTAGTAAAGTCATTAATTTTGACATAACTAAAATTCGTAGAATGGTTAAAATATCCATCCATTATCTTCATCTCAGTCTTTTGTTTTAAGGATATAACACTTAGTGAAAAAAAATTCCTGGTTATTAGCCTGATGGGGAGACTTCATTCAGTTACTTAGACCTTTAAAATTTAATTTAAAGGTGCTGGGGATATAGCTCTGTTGGTAGAGTGCTTGTCTCAAGTGCACAAGGCCCTGAATTCAATCCCCAGTAACACATACACACACACAAAAAAAAAAAAAACAATAAGAGTTAAGCTAGGCACATGGTGGCACATGCCTGTAATCCCAGAGACTCAGAAGGCTGAGGCAGGAAGACCACAAGTTCAAAGACAGCCTCAGCAACTTTAGTGAGATCCTAAGCAATTTGGAAAGAGACCCTGTCTCAAACTAAAATATAAAAAGGTCTGGGAATGTGGCTCAGTGGTTATGCACTCCGGGTTTTATCCCTGATTAAAAAAAGAGAGTGAGTTATTAAAACTCACCAACATGGATAACCAACTTGCCACAATATCAGTATTTTAGTATTCTGAAGGTATAGAGATGGAATAGTTTCATTTGGGACAAGCAAGAAATTATGTGCTATAGTAGAATTAACTTTTGCCCTAACATTAAGAGAATACCTAACTAAAGACTCAGCAAATATACTTAAATGAAAATTTTTATTTATAAGTCAGAGAGGGAAAGATGATCTCTTAGACCTTAGAAAATTAAACCATTTGGGATTTTACGTAAGATCAACTATGTTGTTATTAATAGTGGCAATTATAATTAAAATTTAACAGTCAGCTCTCTGTCTTCACAAACTAAAATATGACAGGTATTTATAGCTATTTGGCATGGTTTAGTCAAGTTTATAATTTAAAAAGTAACCGAGTGGCTTTTCTCTGTGTCATGTAAGATAAGACTATGTTTAGCAAGGGGTGTATCCTCTAGTTTTAGTAAGTTTAAATATAGTGTAAATAGAACTCCTAAATTTCATTCCTAGCACAGCTCACCACTACTCAGTTAGAATTTATCATAGTCCTGTTTTTGCCCCCAAGTGGTAGACAGGGAAATGCTCCTGTCAGATTTTATCATTAACATTCAGGTAATATTAGCAGTTTTTGGTTCCTGAACCACAGGAGTACTTTCTCTGACATTCTGGCTGTGCCCAGGTCTGTCTCTCAGCTGGGCAGAGCTTCCAAATTTCAGCTTACACTGATCTGAATAGACATAAATCAACAATGTGGCATGTTCTTTTCAGTAGCTCTCATAACTGTATTTCCCTGTCTCTCTCTTTTTCTTTTCCAGTACCTAAAAGTGCCACAAGTACCAGAAGTTTCTGTGTGTTTTCAAAGAACATAATAATTTAATAATCAGCAGATAATGAGTGCTTTTCAGTTCCTATTTATAATATAATGGGTCTAAAGAAATACATACCAAGGACCGAGTAGAGGGAGCTGCCGAAAGAGAAACTCACTAAAGAATTTCTTCTGTGCTTAGTACTTTGCAAAGATAGACATTTAAGATGTGGCCTTTCCTTGTAATCATGACTAAAGTCATGATACACATTAACAGTAAATTCATCATGCTGTATAATAAACTACTAAATTTAATAGTACAAGCTAAGCATTTTAACAGTGGAGTGAAATCAATTAAATGTGAGTCCTGGCAGAGTCCATAATTTTTTTTGTACTCTTCAATCCTAAAGCAAAAAGGAGAAGGCAGCATTCCAGGCAGAGACTGCATACTTAAATAATATGAGTAGTAATAAGTATTGCGCAGGAGGAACCAGGAAAGAGATTTTGCCCAATTTAATCAAACCAGTGTGAATCTTGACACTGAGAAAAGGAGGTAAATTTGATTAACTGTTGAAACATTAAAATAATAAACTGGAATAACCTTGCCATTTGCTTTCATAGAGTAATCTCGTTACCAATTATTGGTATTAGAAACTGGAAGCTCAATTTCAATTTAGATATAAATGAGAAAGTGAAATCCTTCTTGGTTTTAGAAAAAAGGTGAAATTCAATTAAGAACCTTACATAGAACAGCTTTAGTCATGTGAAAAACATAATGCTTGAACTTTTTCCCACACCCACTGTACTGAGAAATGTTAATTCTAAAATTATATCAGACACAGAAATCTGATAAAATAGGATATATATATAAGGTATCTATGTTTTAAATAAGAATAACAGGAGTGGAAATACTAAATATTCACAATATTCAAATATTAAATATTCAGGAAGCTTTTTCAAGACAATTTTTCCTATTAAGTCAGGGATATATCATTTTTAGTCAGTTTTTGTTTTATACAATGCAGCATTTGAGTGGGAGCATAATTGAAACTACTGTTGGGAGTGTGGAGAAAGTTGGTGAGAGAAATAACAAAGTGTTTTCTTGTTTAGTACTTTTTGAAAACATTTATATTATGATTTTAGGATAAGAGCCTTAAGGCTGTACTGGGCTATATTCTCTGTGGCATCCCAGTATTTAACAGACATTACTTTAAAAAAAAAAAAAAAAAAAACATTACTTTTTCAATGAAATATAAGCTTGACTATTTAAAATTGCACTTCATTTCTAATTCTCCATTTACTATCAATAGTAATAATAATTACCACCACCTTGTGTTGAGTGCTTAGTTTGTACAAGCATTGTGGGAGGGTTCCTTTCAGACATACCTCATTTGGTCTGATTTAGCTTATTAGCTTTAGTAGTAACTTGTGAGCACATTCTTAATGGCTTAAAAAGAAGAAGAAACCTAAAGGTTAGAGGCATAGCTAGTGGTGAGGCCCTGAGTTCAATCCCTAGCACTAAAGGAAAAAAAACAAAAGGTAATCTTATAAATTAAGAGGCTACTGAACCATCAAACTTCCTTAGTTTTTTATTGGTTTGAATACAGCATCTCCTTGTCATCCTGACCTTGCCTTTACCCATACCACTCCGTCAAGTTGTATGGCAGTTTTACCTGCTTTGAAACAGAAACAAAAGTTTATGTAGCTCAGTGGTAGAGTGCTTGCCTAGCATGCTAGAGGCCCTGGGTTTTATCCCCAGCATTGGGTGTCAGGTCAGGGGGCAGGGAATAGGGAGCTGCCTGTTCAAATAGTTTGATAGAATTGGTTGTTTGAATTAACCAATTGAACTGTTTGGGGGCCTGACATTGAGGCACACTTCTAAATTTTTTGTTTGTTTGTTTGTTTCCATATCGTTTGTATGGATAATGTACTCACATCAGTAATATCTCTTCTTTCTTCTCATTCTCGTTGGGAGGGACAAGTTGAGAGGTTCACATTAGAATCTGTGTAAGTTGAAAATGATCTACTGGAAAAGAATGCTTGCTTCTCCCTTTACCTATTTACCCTGGGACAGAGTTGACCCAGCCATAATTGTAAACATAGTATAATAAAGAGATTTGGGGTTTGATTAGGTAGGGTCAGGGCTGAATATAAAGGTCTCATATCATTATTTTTGTTTTAATTAAGAAAAGGCTCATAAGCTTTAACATTGTGTTCTGTTTTGTTTATAACAAACTTAAATCACAGAATGTGATTGTACTTTAATATATATAATCAGATGTGCTCTCTTTACCTTTAGAAATCAAAATCACCCTTTTCATTACCAATAGCAGTAACTTTTGTTTGGTATACTACTTCCTTTATGTAGATAAACAATATTTTGTGCATACTTTCTTATTGTTTATAACAGAAAATAAATAAAATATATGCTTGAATTCCAGATACCAATGGATCAGATAACTCCATCCCAATGGCTTATCTTACACTGGATCACCAACTACAGGTAAAGGAGCACTTTCTCAATGGAAGTTTACTTTTTTCTTCTTAGGGAGATTGTCTTTGAAGCTGACTATTATGTTTTTATTCATCCTTGTATATTCATTTATATGCTTATAGCATAAATAAACTTTAAAATCAAATTAAAATAAAGGATTTTTAGTTAATTTATTCAGATTTAAGACTGGCAGAATCATATGTTCTTATCGTAACAGTCGTGTTAAAATAGTTCCATATCTTTGTTCAAGACTGCCAAGCATAGCATTTTCGCTCTCTAATTTTAGTGCATTAAAATATAAAACTCATAAACTCATCCCTATTTAATACATTTTGTGATGCATTCTTATGTTCATAGTGACCAAGAATGTAAGTAATATACTTTGGTGCTTCCTCACAAGTATGAGAGCTAAATATCTCTTAGGAGCTGGACTCTGCGGCACATACCTTATACCCACCTATTTAGGAGATTGAGACAGAAGGATTGAAAGCTTAAGGCCAGCCTGGGCAAGACCCTGTCTGGGAAAAAAAAAAAAAAACCTTTTAGTGTAATACAGTTTGGCAGCCTGAAATGTCATACCAGAAGCTGCAAGTACTCTAGTCATATTTCTCTAGAACATGAAAGTGTTAAAACAGCAAGTATCAATTTAAGTTCTGAGTTAACTCTGACAAAAAGACATGAACATTTTCTAGGGCATGATTTAACACTTATTTTTAAAAGATTGTTGCTTTAGTGCTATAAAAATATATCACAGTCTCTGTCTTAATTCTCGTCTTAGCTAAAAACTGAGATTTGATTTTAATTATGTTTTAACATTCCTGATTTATTTTCAGCCTCTAGCACCATGCCCAAACTCCAAAGAATCCATGGCAGTGTTTGAACAGCATTGTAAAATGGCACAAGAATATATGAAAGTTCAAACAGAAATTGCATTGTTATTACAGAGAAAGTAAGTCTTAAGTTTTAAGTGCCCTTTGACTATTTTTTATGCAAAACTCACCCTTTTGACTATCATATTTGTACTAAGGAGAATAAACTAGTGCTATATATACAAGTGTTATATGTTCTCAGAGTTTCAAAGTTGGTCATAATTTGGGTTACCAACATTCAGGTGTGCTTCATCTTACAAACAATTTTGTACACATATTCTTTCAGATCTTTGTTTATGAGAATGGGAGTACTTGTTACAGGGCTTTATTTCATATCATTGAGTATTTTTCTGAGGAATTTTACACCTATATGTGTTTTTCTGAGAGTTACAGAAACTGCCTTCCTCCCATTTTTAAGAAATCAAAGAGCTAGGAATTTAACTTAGCAGTAGAGCACTTGCTTAGCATGTTCAGGGTCCTGGATTCAATTCCTAGTACTAGAAGAAAGAAAAGAAATCCAAACCAGTTTCCACACTATTCTATGTATGCTCAGTTCTTTAATTAAAAAAAAAAACCCTAAGCATAACCCCCCCATATAATTTTATGAAGCTGATTTATAAGTGGAAACAAAAATCAAAGGGAAAAAAATGGTAATAAGATTCCTTCTATTAATTTTTCTCTACATAAGATTCTTGTTTTCCAAAGTAATGCATGAGACGTTTGTGATTTTACTTCAAAATAAGAATTTTATCACAATTTTTCATACAGTAATTTAACTGAAATCAATGTGGTATTGTAAAGGTAAGCCTGAGAAAGAAATTAAATATTATAGTCTAGAAATTGTAGATGTTATTGTAGAACTGCTGGCACTTGATGTTGGTTTAAAAAAAAAAAAAAAAATCCACATTTCTTTTTTTCACATATTTAATCAGTGCTCTTTGAAAGAAGAGTTTTGTTCAGAAAAAATAATGGTGGATATAGGGGAATGTGAAAACTATGGCAGTTTTAATCAATTTTAAGTATTTAAATGAGAAATATTGGGAAGTTATTTTGTTTGAAGATTTTTTTTTTATTAGTTATTCATTTATATCCAGTAACCTCACTTTAGGAGCTAATACTCTATCCTTAAGTAAAAGGGGCTGAAAGAAGTTTGACTAAAAACTCTGAGAGTCTTTCCTAAAAGTGTCTGCAAATGTAAGTGGTTTAAGTGTGGTTTATATTGTTCTGTTTTAAAATAGGAAAGAGCTTTAAGTTGGATTACATCTCTTTTAACTAGCTTACAAATGTTCTATTAGCTACCACTCAGCACTGTAAATAGGATTGTGACATCAGCATATGAATATGAGTACATGAGTATAAAAGTAGAATATGAATTTTTAAAACTTTGGTGTTATTTTCCTGTGATGGGCTAGAGCCCTTTTTTTCCTTCCTTCACAAAAAGAAGATAGCAAATGAAAAATTCTCTGAAGTTTTTATTTGACCACATAATCTAATTCATTGATTGTCCAAAGACAGTTCCCTATGAAAGGATTATGTTATTTGTATGGTGATACCGTAAGAGTGGGCAATAGTTTCCATTGTGGCCCATACTTTTATTTGACTCATGTACTTAAGATACAAAAGATAGACTCAAAATAAAAGTTCTCATTAATTGAGCTTCTAGCATCAGCTAGTTAAGGAATCAATTTTTGTATCCTTGGTGATATTTATTATGTGGTATTTCCTTTTAGGCAAGAACTAGTTGCAGAATTGGACCAGGATGAAAAGGACCAGCAAAATACGTCTCGCCTGGTACAGGAACATAAAAAGCTTTTAGATGAAAACAAAAGCCTTTCTACTTACTACCAGCAATGCAAAAAACAACTAGAGGTCATCAGAAGTCAACAGCAAAAACGACAAGGCACTTCATGATTCTCTGAGACTGTTTAAATTTTAAAATATACAAAGAAAAACTTTTTTTTTTTCAAAAAAGAAAAACCCTATGACAATTCATGAGTATTAGCTTTTTGGCGTGTTCTGAATGCCACCTGCCTATATTTGCTGCATTTGTTACGTCATTTATTTTCTTCTCATGGTGGATATGGATATGCAGTTCCACTGTCTCGTTGAATTTCATGATGGCCTCTATGACTTGGATAAGCAGCAGTTCTCAGCTTCAGAACAGATGCAGTGAACTGTGGGTATATATGCATGCTCATTGTGTGAAGGGTAGCCGAACAGAACGTGGGTTTTCAAACTAGCTGCTATGTGCAAACATCGACCTTTTTTCTATTTCAGAAGTAGAACCTCGAGAATGAGTTTGTTCTTATGTCTCATCTCAAAAAACTAATAATTTTTTCCCAAAAGATGATATACACCAAGTTAAAGACAGGGTATTATAAATTTAGAATAATTGGTGGTACATTACAGAAATATAGAACCTTTAGGGTTAGTTTATGGTAATGGCTTTGATGCCACCTTGGATCAGTACTGAACACAGTTCCATCTGTAAAATATTTAAAGGTAAGTGATGACTGCTGTATTAATGGAAGCAATTTTGTTAGTTTTCATCAAACTAAAAATTGTTCATGATACAGTGAACAAAATGAAGCTCTTTTTTTAAGGCATAAAAACTTTGAATTCTGTGTGTATGTGTGTTGAAACTATAAAGCTTTTATGACTCAAACATTAATTTCTCGTAAATGAAATTAAAGGCAAAACAATATGGTCTAGCTTAAATGATCATTCCTTCCTGCAATGATTAATTGGATTGTTTTACCACATATTTTTAAAAGCTAAAGAGAAAATAGTGGAAAATGGAAATAATTTTGTAAGCTAAAAGGCCTCTACTTAGATTTCTTTTGATAACACCAAATAAGGAATAAACCAGGAAAATCAGAAGTTAGTACAGAAGTTAAAATAGTCAGAATAAACTCATCAGGTATCCTACTTACCTTCAAAATTGAAATAATTGATTTTCCTTGCAAGCCCATCTTGGAATGTCTGCTGCCTTTTCAACACTTCCAAGACAATTTCAACACTTATAAAGAGAATATTTATATTGTTAACAGTAACTTTGCTACCAGCCTTCGAAATAAGAGTAATAAAATGTCATTGAAGTAATAATCTACACAAGGTCTATTTTTTTCAGTTGGTATTAAAACAAATCACATTTTGATAGCAATACAAGAGCATCTTTTAAATATGAATGTCATCAGTTTCGTTTTTATAGCTCGGTGTTTAGAAGATAAAATAAAAAAATGAAAGCATAATTGCTCTGTTCATTAGAATTCTGTCATGATTGTATTGCTGTGTTTGGTCTGTTTCAGATAAACAAGCGGATCTAAGAAGTTACCAAAACTGCTGGGCATGGTGGCGCATGCCTGTAATCCCAGCGACTCGGGAAGCTGAGACAGGAGGATTGCAAGTTTGAGGCCAGCCTTAGCAACTTAGTGAGGCTCTAAGCAACTTAGCAAGACCCTGTCTCAAAATAAAAAGGGCTGGGATGTAGCTCATTGGTAAAGCACTCCTGGTTCCACTCCAAGTACTCCCCCCAAAATTATAATAAGTTATAAAAGCTGTTCTTAAAAATGTAAAACAGGTAACTTTTTCTTCCATTATTTTTTCTTCCTCCCACTGAGTTTTATAATCTCATGTGTATACAAGCAATAAATGTAAAGGACAGTTCATACTAAACCGTGTCATTTTTAGTTTCTTAAGAATCTGTTATTAGAAAGCTTTTAGGAACTTAATATCTTCTATCACTTGATTTAAATAAAAGGAGGGTTATCAATCCCATATAATTTAACTATTAATCTGATATTAATATTGGGCTCAACGTAATAGTAAAATAAAATTGGCACAGAAAATAACTATAGACTAAAGGAAAGCATAACTCAATCATAGCAATTGTACTTGTGTGTACATCTGAAGAGTCACTGTTAAGCAGCCTTTCTAATTATCTCAGAGCATGAGATATCCAAGTGTAAATGCTAGGGCTTGACTTTCCATAAGGATTTAGCATTAGAGAGTTCAGATTTCATTTCTAGACACTGATGTCTTTTGCTATGTTTTAAAAGACTTAAAGGGAAAATTTATTATTATTTTTGTTATTATCATTATTACATGAAGATACTTCAAAAAAATATCAACATGGTAAATGGAAAAAAAATAGTAGGTTTAATCATGGTTTCAAATGCAAAAGGCTGTTGAGAAATTGCTGTTTGTTTACAATGAATTCCTTGGGATTTTCAGTTTTGTAGTTGTCCTGGACATTGAGAGCAATTCAGCCTTATTCTGTTTGCTGATCTATTATCCCTAAAAATGGGGGAAAGCGGGTACTGTGGAGAATTAAAATCCATGGCCAGTTTCATCAATGTCTTTGCCCATTAAAACTTCAAATAGAGATGTTATCAAGGTAACCAAACTTTTTAGTAATTCTGGTTTTAAATTTATTCTGACCATCATTTTTGGGGTGGAAATAGCAAACAGGGAAATAAGATTCAAAATTATTCTAGTCTAAGAAATTCAAAAACAATCACTGAACAAATAAATACTAATTTTATTTTATTCTTCCCTCCAGGGAAAGAAAGCAAAGCTTTTATCTTATCTAGAGGGATATATTCCTCAGCAATAGAAAAATGTTTGAATAAAAATCAGTTATAGCAACAGCATATTGAAAAGATTTGTTTAAAAATTATTTACAGATGTTTGACTTTTCTTTACTGAAGTATTTTTAAGCATTGAATTTTTTTTTCTTCAAGTTACTCCCATGTGCCTAATTTCAGTTCCTGCTGTAGCCCAAAATCACAGCTCTTCCCTGTGAGACTAGTGTTACTCTGTAAATGTGTGTGGTTTTCACTGTTTCTCTCTTCAAATGGTAGTAAGTTCTACTTTGACTTCTGTCATTCAGAACATGTGTAAAATGATGTAATACAGAAATTCTTGTGCATACTGTGTAATTGAAGGAAGCTTTTTAGATTTATTTTTTTGTTTTTAATAAAATTCAGATTATTATTCTAAACTGGTATATAAAATGGTAAATGGCTTATGTCAGCAAATGAGCTGTTGCGTTCACTCTAGCAGTATATTTGCCTAACACAGAATCTAATAAAAACTGAAACATCAGTATTTTTATAATATTCAACACTGTTAATACCATAATCTTTAAGAAGTCTGAGTGATTGGCCAGTTAACGCATTATCTTCTGTATTTCAGAATTTTGAGTTAAATGGCTGCTTTTCATAATTTCTTGAGTCTTAATTTGTATGAAGCATGACATTACATATACATGACTCTTTTTTTTAATATTTCTTTTTTAGTTGTAGTTGTCAATACCTTTATTTTTATTTATTTACATCACCCCAACCTTCATTTTTGTAAATTCATACATTAATTTTCTCATGTCTTCAGTATTTATTGATCACCTGTTAACAATCTGAGCTGCTGTTATTGATGCCAAATTGTGGTCCATTTCAGTCACACAGCAGTTAGGTAGTATTCTCATCTTTCAGATAGGAAACTGGGCTACTAAAGGTTAAAATGTTTATGTGGGTGTGGTTTTCCATCATTGTCACTTGTTTTAGGCAGTATCTCATTCTTGAGGATTCTGGCCACTGTCTGCCCATGATGTGAAGAAGAACATAGGAAATATTTTAAATTGAATGGCAAAGGAAGAGGAACTTAAGTAATTCCCAACTAGCAGGCACAGAGGCTTTGTGACCACTCTGTTGGAGCCACAAAGCCAATATTGAGGTCTACATGTGTCTTTTAAACCCAAATCTTTGCTCTAAACAACTTTGTGACCAAGTTCTGAAGTATTTCAAGCTTTCACATTTAAATATTTGGCAGGTGGAGTGTCTTCATCTTTCTACTTATTTCACCTGAAAGAAATGTGCCCTCAAAATGAAAATAAAATAACCATATTATGAGTCTGCTCTAGATAAAAGACTTTTCTTTCCAGTCCACTGGAAAGTAAAGTATAGCCTGGATTTTTTCACTAAGAGACCTCAGATAACCACTGACCTGCTTCCCAGTAATGTAGATGAGTTTGCATTTTCTACAATTTTACATGAATGAAATCATACTGAGTTGACCCTTTACTTCTTAAGTGTTTAATCTCCCACTTGGATAGTTTTGTGATTCCTTTGAGAGGAATTTTTAATTAAACCTTTTCTAGTAATACTTGAAAATGAGTTCTCAGTCTTTGAGGGAAAACTAAGAAGACTGTAGATATATTGTTCAGTTTGATCTTCTTGACTGCAATGTCATCATCTTCAGAAACTCTCAAGATTATAGACTAACCCAGGGCCCTTTACATGCTAGGTAAGCACACTACCACTGAGCTGTATCCCCCAAGCCTTTTTTTAGAACTTTTCTTTTGAAAAAGGGTCCCCTTCAACTGTAGGCTGGCCTTAAACTTGAAAGTCTCCAGCCTCAGCCTACCAGGTAGCTGGGATTACAGGTGTACACCACAACACCAGCTCCACGAGAATCTTAACAGATGCTATTTCTTTTGAGGATTGGAAACATCTTCATTATCTAAGTTGCATAGGAAGTGAATGACATGCTTCTAAGACATCTACTTCTGTACATTGTGGACATGATACTGTTAATACATGCTTAGTCAAACTCATGTCTGATTAAGTAATTCTATCTCCCCATTCATGGTTCCAAGTTTTACATGTGGGAAGACTGAAGAAGTGGCACAGATTTCCTTGGCTTAAGATGCAAATTTGTCCCCTCTTACTTTCTTTTTTCATCCATATAAGAAAACCCCTTATTTTTATAAATACTTATAAAAAGAAAAACTTATATATCTCCCTATAGTCATTAGAACATAAGTTTGGCTGCTGCCCAAAATAATAACTTAAACAAGACAGCAAGTTCTGGGCATGTTCAGGTCCTCCACAGGTAGAGGCAGTGGAATCACTTAATCCCAGGAGTTTTGAAGCCCACCTGGGCAACATAGTAAAATCCCATCTTTGGAAAAATAAAAAGATAGCAGTTAGTTCTTTCTCTCATAGAAAGGCTAAAGTAATAGTTAATGGCCAAGCCAAAGAGAAGAGGAAGAAGGCAAGAGCATCACCTCCTTTGGCCATAACTTAAGCACATGGCCACCTCTAACTGCAGAGAGACTGGGAAACATCTTTATATAAGGGAGCCCTGGGCTTAACTTTTTGAAATTCAAAAATGGAAAGGATACAGAGGATAGTGAGTAGGAAGGTAGGCACTACTTGTTACCACTTCCTTTATTCTGCCCACAAAAGGGAGCAGGAAAAGCTAGCCTCTCACCAGAATGTCCAAGTAACTTGCATTTCTATTGATGTAAAAATGACCAATGTGTACACATTCTTTGGGCAATTTTCCTGTATTTATAATTGAAGCAGCTTGGAAATATAAAGTGAAACTTCAAAATGTGTTTTAAATTGCAACACCCTAGTTGGAAACCAAACTTGAAATAACTTAAGGTCAATATCATACAGTGCCCATTTAGGGAAGAAACTGGTTTTTTTAAAAAGTTACAGATGTGGTGGTGCACACCTGTAATCCCAGCATCTTAGGCGGCTAAGGCAGGAGGATTGCATGTTCAAAGCCACCCTCAGCAACTTAGTGACCCTCTATCTCTACATAAAATACAAAAAAGGGCTGGGGATGTGGCTCACTGGTTGAATGCTCCTGAGTTCAATCCTCAGTACCAAAAAGCAAAACAAAATTGTGATAAGAATTTATTTTTAAAATTAACTTTAAAGAAAAGTAACAAACTTGTCATTGATGAATAGAATTGAAAGAATAGGAACTAACATTTGTGAAGTGTATATTATGTTTCAGACATTTCTTATGTTAGCCCTACTTTAGAAAGGTAAACAATAGCTCAAAGGAGTTTGAAAATTCACCAATCCTTTAAATGATGAGTTCTAGGTCAAACCTAAGTCTTCAGACTGTTGGAGCCTCTGGAAATCTGTTTTAGTAGATTTAGAACTGGGAGTGTGTTTTCTTGTTTACTTAATAAAGTGAAAGAGACCTAACTCCATTCACAAGAGTCCTTAATGGAAATAAAACAGTGCAATGTATGGGAATATTTCAACAAAGACTGTGAGAAAAGTGAAGCAGTTAATGTCTTCAGATGTT